TGGTGGGCTCGGTCCTCCCCCGCGATAGAAGGTGGATGGAGCTAGCCAACCCTCCCGAACTCCTGGACGCGTATTACACCGCCCAGGCTCAAGTAAACCTTCTAGCCCGTGGGTCAGTTTTGCCTCTGTGTTTTGGTTAGATAGCGTAACGTGCTGACTTGTTTTCCCTCCTCCTCAGGCCAACGCCGCTGGTGCTGCCCTGGCAACCCGCTTCTCCGAGCTGTCTCCCGACTTGGAGAAATTGCAGAAGAAAAATCGAGAGACAGAGCAGAGGCTTACCCAGGCCCTTAAGGAGGTGGACTCCCTTAAGGCTAAATTGGGCAAGGCCGAGAAAGGGCTGGAAATGGCTCAGGTCCAGCTCGCCTCTGCCAGGTCGGAGCTCGACCAAGTGAAGGCCGGCGTGGCCAAGCTGAAGGAAAACCACGCCATCGAGCTCTCCTGCACCGTCAGCCGGGAGCGGAAGAAGGCTGTCCGGGAGTTCATCTCTTCCGAGCAGTTTGAAGAGGATATCGCCCTGCTTAACCTGCCCATCCTCCAGGTCGGCTCTACGCGGGCCCTGAACCAGGTGAAGAGCCTTAGCCTTCCTGGCTTCAACTTGATGGACTTCAAGGACTACAATCCCGCGGCCGAGGATAGGCTGGATTGGCTCTTTGACGGGTACCGCAAGGGGCATGCCCTGAAGAGCCTGGTGGGCCGAACCGACATTGGAGCAGAGCTGGCGGAGGTTCCCTTGGAGGAGGACGAGTCTCCTGGCAGAGCTTCCGGGAAGGAGCCGGTGGCCTAGGGCAGCGACCACTCCAGAAACCCTTTCCGTCTCCTTATAAGGATGTGACCATACTCCAGTTGAAAATGCTCTTGAAGGTCCATCTGAGACGGAAAGGCTCCCCTGCTTCTGGGTTCCTGAATAGCCTTCACCATACGCCTCTCAACATGCTTAAGGTGTACCTTCAGCCCCTGCTCCAAGCAGGTTACCAGCAAGAAAAAGAGTGTCCGAGCTGTCCTCCTTTTGTGGTTCGGTAGGCTCTGTAACAGAGAGGCGACTTGGAAGCTTTGTAATAGATAGGCGACTTGGGAGCTTTGTAATAGATAGGCGACTTGGGAGCTTTGTAATAGATAGCCTTTGGGTTCATATACGAAACTTGAAGGAAATTTCCTCGCAACTTTTTCCTGCACCCCACTGCAACAACCGAAGCCAGGCGCCGACCTCCTGGGTCGAGCACCAAATGCATACCCCCGTTAGTCTAACAACTAAATCATTAGAGGCAACCAGCTTGCCGAAACCATGTGCCGACCTCCCGGGTCGAGCACCACGCCGTCCTACCAAGGCAACGTGCCAGCCTCTTGGGGCTGAACACCAAACTTTAAGGATTTTCCCCTCCGACCTCCTGGGTCGAGCGCCTGACTCTGAAGGTGTTCGTGCCGACCTCCTGGGTCGAGCGTCGAACCTTGAATCCCATCAGGCCCAGAGTAGTCCACTCTATGCCGACCTCTCGTGGCCGAGCGTCGGGCTCTCAGATTCCCAAGCTATAACCCTTGCCGACCTCTTGGGGTCGAGCATCCATCTGGAAGTTTTAATCAGTGCCGACCTCTCGGGGTCGAGCATCGCACTTCGCAACGGCGTCCGCCAACCTCTCGAGGCCGAGCGTGGAATTTTCAGAATCCTTCAAAGTTTTCCAGTCGTGCCGACCTCCTGGGGTCGAGCACTCCCGCACTCTCAAAGGTATCCCGCATCCATCACTAACCCTTAGCCCCCCACTAGGACATTTAGTGAAGGAACGCTAAGTGTGCTAGTGTAAGATTCAAACTTAAAAGGCAAACAAGTACAAATGAAATTAAAGCTTGAAAGTTGAGCATTTATTGAATGATGAAATTGAAATTCGGATTCCAAAGAACAGACAACTGAACACCCTGGTCTAACCTACACTACAAACAGTCGCAGATTGGAGAAGTGCCAAGTGCGGGGTACCTCTGATCCATCTATTCTCGCGAGCTTGCAGTAGCCAGCTCGGCTCGCCTCAAGGACCTTGTATGGGCCTTCCCAGTTCGGGTCGAGCTTGTTGGAGCCATGAGCTCGGCTGACCGAGTTCTTCCTTAGGACAAGGTCCCCTGGCTGGTACTGTATGGTCCTCACTCTGGCGTTGTGATAGCGGGCGAGCTGGCTTTTGTACTTAGCCATCCGTACCGCCGCTTCCTCACGCTTAGCCTCCAGCATGTCCAAGTTGCACCTCAGCTCTTCCTCGTTGGATGACGCAACGAAATTCTGTGTCCGGGGCGAGGGGAGACCAATCTCCGCGGGTACCACCGCCTCCACTCCGTAAGTCAGAGAGAACGGGGTCTCGTTGGTGGCCATTCTGGGCGTAGTGCGGTAAGCCCAGAGGACACTAGGGAGCTCATCCAGCCAGTTAGACTGGGCCAGTTCCAGCCTAGTTTTCAATCCTTGGAGGATGGTTCGGTTGGCATTTTCCACCTGACCGTTGGCCTGAGGATGGCCGACCGATGTAAAGTGCTGACTGATCCCGAGCTCGGCGCACCAGCTCTTGAAGGGGTTATCCGCGAATTGGCGCCCGTTGTCTGATATTAAGACATGCGGAATCCCGAAGTGGCAGACTATGTTCCTCCAGAAGAACTTCTGAATTGCCCTCCCAGAGATAGAGACCAGGGGCTCTGCTTCCACCCACTTCGTGAAATAGTTTACGGCCACCACGAGGTGCTCATATCTTCCCCGGGCTCGGGGGAAAGGACCCAGAAGGTCTATCCCCCATTGAGCGAAGGGCCAGGGACTGTGGATGGGGATCATTTCCCGAGTTGGCTGGTGGCGCAGCGGGACGTGCACTTGGCAAGCTCGACATTTCTGTACCAGTTCTGCGGCATCTTGGAAGATGGAAGGCCAATAGTAGCCCAAGAGAAAGCACTTTTTGGCCAATACCCGGGACCCCACATGTTCTCCACATATCCCTTCATGGATTTCGCGAAGGACGTAGTCACCTTCCTCGGGAGTCACGCACTTTAGCCAGGACGATAAGTACGACCTCCTGTAGAGGGTTACCCCAGAGTAGGCGTACTTGACAGTTCTGAGCTGGATCCGGCGAGCCTCGGTTTTGTTCTCAGGGAGGGCACTCGAGCTGAGGAAGTTTACTAGGGGGGTCATCCAGGTGGCCGAGCTGTCTATAGCCAGGATGCGGACCTGGTCGATACTTTTCTACTTGACCACCTCTACCAAAACTTCCTTGTTCAGGTGCACAAACGAGGAGGATGCCAGTTTTGACAGGGCGTCTGCACGCTTGTTTTACGATCTTGGCACCCGCTCGATTTCAAAGGTATCAAACAGGGCTATTGCCTCCTGTACTTTGGCCAGATATTTCTTCATGACCTCCTCCTTGGCCTCGTATTCCCCGCGAACTTGGAGGACGACGAGCTGAGAGTCGCTCCGGACTCTGATCGCGGTTATACCCATCTGGTGGGCTATCCGCAATCCTGTAAGCAGGGCCTCATACTCGGCTTCATTGTTGGATGCGGGGAAGTCGAAACGAAGAGCGTAGGTCAGCTCCTTCCCGGTTGGCGAAATGAGCAGCAAGCCAGCTCCACTTCTTTCCTTGCTGGAGGCCCTATCCACGAACAGAATCCAAGGCTCTCTCGACCGCGCCCCACTGGGCGGAGAGTTCTGCTCGGTCATGGCCAAGCTAGCCCTCTCGGCGAGAAAGTCTGCCAAGGCCTGAGCCTTAATGGCAGTACGGGGCCGATAGCCGATGTCGTGCTCGGCCAGCTCAACGGTCAATTTGGTCATCCTGCCCGAGACCTCAGGCTTGGTGAGTATTTGCCGTAGAGGCTGATCGGTCATGACGACGATGCTGTGGGCCTGGAAGTAAGGTCGGAGTTTCCGTGCCGCGTGCACCAAGGCAAGGACCAGCTTTTCAGCCGGCGTGTACCGCGTCTCCAGCCGCTGTAAAGCACGGCTGACATAATATATCGACCTCTGAGCCCCCCCGTCTTCCCGCACCAAGATCGCGCTGACGGCTTCGTTGTAAGCAGACAGGTACAGCAACAAGGTCTCCCCTTGCTCCGGGGCGGTCAGAGTGGGCAGATCAGCCAGGTAGGCCTTCAGGTCGGCAAAGGCTCTCTGGCACTCTTCAGTCCATTGAAAGTCCTTGGGGGCTTTCAGGATCCGGAAGAAGGGCAATCCCCGGACCGCGGAACGCGAGAGGAATCTGTTCAGGGCGGCCATCCTTCCTGTGAGCCGCTGAACCTCCTTTACGCTCATCGGGGGGGCCATGTCCATGATAGCCTGGAGCTTATTCGGGTTGGCCCGGATCCCATCCCGAGATACCAAGAACCCTAGGAACCTTCCCGACCTAACCCCGAATGTACACTTCTTCGGATTCAGTCGCATCCGGCTCTCCCGCAGGATGCCCAAGATCTCTCTCAGGTCGGGGACGAGCTGCTGATCAGTCCGGCTCTTGATGATCATGTCATCTACGTAGACTTTCATGTTTCTGCCGATCTGATTCTGGAACAGTTTGTTGACCAGGCGCTGGTAGGTGGCTCCGGCGTTCTTCAGGCCAAACGGCATAGTCCGGTAGCAATAGGTTCCCTCCTCGGTGATAAAGGAGGTCTTCTCCCGGTCCTCCTCAGCCATCTCTATCTGGTGGTACCCTTTGAAAGCATCCAGAAAACACAAGACATCAAAACCCACAGTAGAATCTACTAACCTGTCGATTCTTGGCAGAGGAAAACAGTCTTTTGGGCAGGCTTTGTTGAGATCCGTGAAGTCCACGCACATTCTCCAGGTCTGGTCCTCCTTCTTAACCAATACCGGGTTGGCCAACCAGGTCGGGTAGTAGACCTCCAGGATGATCTTGGACTCCAGCAGTTTTCCGACTTCTTTCTTGATCACCTCGTTCCTTTCTGGGGCGAAACTCCTCTTTTTCAGCTTCACTGGCTTGAAGCGGGGATCTATGTTGAAGTGGTGGACCGCCAGGCCGGTCAGAATCCCGGGCATGTCTTCAACCGTCCAAGCGAAAACCTGGGAGTATTCCCTTAACAGGGCTTTCAAGCCCTCCTTCTCCTCCGGGGGCAGCAGCGCCTATGCGGATCACCTGGTCTGGCCGGTCTTCCCTCAAGGGGAACTTCTCGATTTCGTCCTGGGTGCCTGGCTGCCGGGTTTCGTCCCCCGGGATGTAAGGCTCCAGACAGGTCGTCTGGGCGACCACCTTCTCCCGTCCCTGAAGCATGGCCAAGTAGCAAGCCCTGGCCACCTCAGGGTCACCGCGCACCTCGGCTATCCCTCCCGGAGTGGAGAATTTGACGCTGAGGTGGAGCGTCGAGGGGATAGCTCGGAGAGCGTTCAAGGCAGGCCGACCCAGGAACACGTTGTACGGGGACTGTTGCTTGACCACCACGAAGTTGACAGGGATGGTCCGGCATTTGGGGGCCTGCCCTACCGTGACCATCATGGTGATCATTCCCTCCGGGTTGATAGGGGGTCCGGTGAAGCCCATCAGGGGTGTCCGAATTGGGGTAAGCTGCCCGTCCTCCAAGCCGAGCTCGTTGAACACCCGATAGAACATAATGTCAACCGCACTCCCTTGGTCGACATACACCTTCTTCACGTGGTAATTGTTGGTGACAATGTCTATCACGATGAGCTCATGGTTCCCGGACGCTAGGGGAACTGCGTCCCTTGGTCCGAAAGTGATCTCCTCGTCCATGCGCAGCCGCTTCAGGGAGTCATCCCCCTCGGGGGGAGATAACCTGTTCTTCCGAGTTGTGTGACTGTCTCCCTCGGTGGGGCCCCTGGCGATGGTGTTTATCACTCCAGCTAGGTTTTGGGTGTCCTGGTCGGGGGAGCGGCTCCCGGGCGCGTCACGCCGCCCAAGGCGGTCGCGCCGCTGGCCTTCACCCCGATCTCCGCGGTAGGTGCGTCCAGGCTCCTGGCCGGGGCAACCTTGCCGCACGAATCGCCCCAAGAACCCTCGCTGGATCAAGTTTTCGATCTCCTTTCGCAGGACCCATCACCCCTCCGTGTGGTGTCCGACGTCGCGGTGGAAGGCACAGTACCGATCCTGGTTCCTCTTATTCCGAGGTGTCCCTATCTTTTGCGGCCGACCTCCCAGACCTTCCGCCTCCATGACAGCTAGGATCTGAACCCTAGGCCGAGTCAAAGGGGTGTAGCCTTTCTCCGGGAGTGGCGGCGGAGCAGGGGTTTTCCCCCTCGAGAGCCGGTCAAAAACGTTTTTCTTGGCCGGAACATCCTTGCCCTCTAGGGGGTTTCCCCGCCCCTTCCGATCTCCGATCTCCCGATCTGACTCTTTCTAAAGACGGCCTGCCTCCTCCGCATTAGCGGCCGCATGCGCCCTGGTCAGGAGCTCCTCCAGATTTTTAGGTGGCTTCTCGGCCAACTTGTAGAAGAGCTCCTCTACCCTGAGCCCGTTCACGAAGGCGGCCATGACCACCTTTTCGTCTTTGTCCCGGACTTGCAGACTCTCCGCGTTGAAGCGGGTCATGAAATTCCTCAGGGTCTCGTCAGGCCTCTGCCTGATAGCCATTAGGTGAGTCGCATTCTTCGAGTAAGTTTTCGAGAAAACGAACTGGGTTACGAACTGTCTGGCCAGTTCAGGGAAACTCCGGATAGACCCTGGTGCCAAGTCTTGGAACCAGAGCCGAGCCTTCCCCTTTAAGAACATGGGGAAGGTCTTGCAGCAGATCTCATCCGCGGCTGTTTGCAGACGCATGTGCGTCAGGAAGACCGAGAGGTGGTCTTTCGGGTCGGTGGAAGCATCATACATCTTAATGCTCGGGATCTTGAATCTCCGGGGTAGGGAGTAATCCTCTATCTCCCGGGGGAAGGGCGAGGTAGTGTAGTTGTTCTCGTACAACTGCGGCCGCAAGATCTGCTCGAGCTCGTCTTGGACAGGTTTCCACGGGAGGTCGCGCAGCCGACTCTTGATAGACCGAGCAGGGGAACGCTCGAGCCCATTCCGCGTGGGTTTCCATGGGGAGGGGTCTCTTGGGCGGCTCCCCACAGACCCGTCGCGGGAATATCTCTCGCTGTCCCCGACCACCGAGGCTCGGGGACGAGGCGGGGTCCGTGGTCGTTTTCTTCTGGGAGGTTGATCCCGCGACTCATCCTCGGAGGGGACGAGTTGGGGCTCCTTTCCCTTGTCCCTCGCCTTGGAGGTCTGCGCGCCTCCAGCCCCCTCCCCCTCCTTCGCCTGCCGGATTATGTCTTCCAGCATGGGGAGGTTCTCCGTCACGAACTGGAAGATCTGCTGCCTTCTCTCTCCTGAAAGGGCTGAGCCCCCGGTGCCCCGGGCCGCCTCAGTCTCCATTCGCTGGGATCCCTCACCGCCTCCAGGGCCGGTGCTCTCTATCGTTCGCTTGGATCACGTTCTTGCCATCAACACAATCTTGCTTACCTTACGTTTCCCACAGACGGCACCAACTGAAGAAGCGCAGAGCTTCCCCGGACCGAGTCGACCTGACGAGCTCGGCGTGCTGATGGGAGAGCTGGTTCCAAGCTTGCAGAACAAACAAAAGGTTGATCTCGCAAGGGGGTCCCGAGGTTGTCCCCGAGGGCACTCCGACGATCAAGTTAGTTTTCCGGTGAGCCAAGTTCACGGGAGTAAACAATCGAGAGTCGTTCGCCAATAGTGAGCGTACCTTTTTTTCTTGATGTGAGTTACCTTTCATACCTGCTAAGGGAGTCCGACCTCCGTACGTTTCGGGACTTGCTCGGCATAGCCCTTATCCGGTGATGAGGGGGATTCCCTCCGACCTCTGCGGGATGGTCCCCTGCCCCTTCAGGAGCCCTAGCATCAGCGCGGCCCAGGACGGCTGCCAGGGGCCTGGGGCCGAGGCCCAGCTCGGCCATACCTGGGCGGCCACGTGTCTGGGCGCAGGACGGGGTCTCTGCAATTTCAGTTATAGCCTTCCCACTGATATTAAAAATTCTTTGCATCACCATATCCATGGCCTTCAAACTTGCATCCATCTAGGAAAATATAGACCAAAAGAGAATATGTTAGTTTTTACAACACAAAAGAATTCATGAAACAAAATGCTTCCCTCTCAACTGCTGTGTCCTCCACCTTCTCTATAACCTTGCCAAGCAGTAGTATCAATTTAGCTGTAGCGTTCCCAATGATATGCACAATGATTTCCATATGGACGGCCTTCCAAACTGCATCTGTCATCTGATAAAAAGAGGCCAAAGTATGTAAGATTTTACAACACAAATGATTGACGAAAAAAATGCGCCCTCTCCCCCTACAAAACTCGTGCTTTGTTGCTAGATTATAGTGTGTGTCAAATAAATTATTGTACCTTTAGACTTTAACAGGAAGGTTCTCTTGAGAATGAAATATATCTTAAAGATTTGGCATACTATTCAATTTAATACGCTGAGAATCATCACAAGGATGAGAAGAACTGCTGATGGACAAGAGGGAAGGGTGGATTAATAGGGGAAGAAGGAATCTCTTTTTAGACGTTGAGAGATTGATGAAGAAAATCATGGAAACCTGGTAGGAAAGTCATGGGAAGAAACTTGGGAACTAGTTAGACACCTGGTCTAAAATTGCCAGGATTGTCCAGCCGATAAAATCAATTAATTAACAATAAGATTAATTAGAAGTCCAGATTAAAGTTGCGGTATTCCTAGCAAGATCCTTCTGCTTTGGATTGAAATCTTCTACTACTTGAAATATGGTTGAGCTACAAGAATGCTTGTAATATCATAGAAATCATTTATAATTAATTGGATAGTATTCTTTTTCTATATTGATTCAATGAAACGACAAAAGTAATTTTTAAACGTTTCTTTCGTATTTTTTGATGATCATATTTCAAATGAACCTAAGACGCACAAGTAAAAATGGGTGGGAGGAAGACTTGAATAAAACGCAATTGCCAGATTTGCTAGCTGAACGCGGTTGGGGTCTCGTCTCGTGGAACAAAGTATTTCTTTCATGATACAAAGGAGACACTAAAGATTCTTTAAATTTAGCAATTGCCCGATAGCCCACAAACCCACAAGCCTACAAACCAGACCAAGAATCGATGCGGTCCTTATAAGAATCCCTCTCCTTACATTACTTGAGCATTATATGATAATGTTTCTCCTCTAATTTCAAACTTTGTAGAGGGAATTTTTTTTTTGGCCCACAACTATCCCAAATCATTTACTTTTACAGATCTTTTATTTTATATCCTTTGCTCCTGCCAAGTCCCAAGTGATCTACAAGCAAAGCCATTGACCAGGAGACAATTTTAGCAAGAACGTCCCGTCAAAGGCGTATTATTAACATGTTAAAATCTAAAATTTCGAACAACAATACCTTTATTAGTCGGGTTTTCCCTTCATAAAAGTTGTTAGCCTTTTCCATCTTTTCCACTAATTTTAGCAAGTTTCAAGTTTGAATCTTTCATTGAATCAAACATGATTCCAACTTCCAGTTTGAGAACCTTGTTTTACTCAATAATTTGACAATTTAGTGTTGGCTTTTGTTTACTGTTCAAGCAGTCAAATTTTTTAGAAGGATTAAATAAAAAAGAGGATAAAAACTAAAACACAAGCACACGTTCTTCTTCTTTTTTTTTGCCCCCCAAGGCCTTTGGTCTAATTATGCTTTGTGAAAATGATAATAACATAAAAAACATATCAGAAAGAAAATGGGTTTCGTCTAATCCAATGGTTCGTGTTCCATCTTAGGATTTAGGGGCACTGATCAAGTTCATGTTAGCCGTTGACGCCAGAGGAAACACTGGCTCCTGAGTCCACTGAAGCAGTGGACAAATCCCAGTCAATCAGCACGTGAGTATCATGTAATCGCACATGCAGCTAGTTGTCTTTTTTTTTTTCTATTTTTTTTCCGGTCTTAATGATAGGTTGTATATATTAGTTAGAGCGGACAATTATACCCAAAATCCAACAACCCACCCAATCCACCCACTAATTTGAGAGGTTGAGTTGGGTAAGTTGGGTTGGGTAAGTTGGGTATTGGGTAAATTTTGGGTTGGGCAATAAAAATCCATATATATTTTAGACGATTTGGGTATTTGTGTTGGGCACCCGTTACCCAACTTTTCCCTCTTTGTATGTTTTCTATGCAAGTATAACCCATCCTGTTGACACATGGAAAAAGACATTCTTGTGTACAAAACTGTTACCACCACCCCCAAAAAAAAACCTCGGGGCAAAAAAAAAAGTGTTAATTTTTGGAGTAAGTTCCCTGTATTTTGGTTGGACTTTTTGATGGTTTAGTAAAGGGGTTAGCAATTATCATTTAAACGTAATTTGACCTCTGCTATTGTAGAGCAAGAATCATCAGCCTATGACTAGTTGACCGAGAGTCGTCCCTATGGCAAATATATATCAATAAACATTTCTGAGACAAGTGTTGTAAAAATTCGTTTATGGAGCGATTAAATATTGAAGTAATAGCCAAATTTTTGTTAATCCTTTCACGAAAGATTTGTATGCTAAATGTTGAAATTATAAAGATATGGTTTCTTGAAAGCTAATTATTTGACAAGAGATTCTTTGTTATAATTTTTTCCGTTACACTCGTTACATTATTTAGTTGATTGACATGTGTCCCATGCAATAATAAATAAGAATTTGAGTTTTAAAATATCTCTTAGTTTGGACCAAAGCTATACCCAGTTTGAAAATCCTTACTTGTATAAAAAATAGTGAGTTCATCCAAGTAATTTAAATAGTTAGTATGTGTGTGTATTTGTGAAAGTATATTAGTGTGTATTGTAATGTCTTTGTATGTGTAAAAATAACATATTTCAAAAGAGCTTAAGAAGTGAGTATATTTTTGTGTCTATGAGTGTTTTAGTGTGTAAAATTTTGTGTATCTATGTGAAAATACATTTATGTGTGTGAAATTTTTTTTTTTTTTTATGTAAAAATGTATTTGAGAGAGTTTATGTATCAAAATCTATTAATTAATATATTGGGTCATATTTGGGTCATGGGTTTGAGATGACCCAATATGACCCAACCCAAAATTAACCCACTCTAAAGTTGGGCGGGTTGGGTGTAACCCATTTAAATGAAAACCCAACATCAACCCACTCAAAATCCGCCCAACTCGCCCAATTGCCAGGTATAATATTAGTC